CTGCCCCCCGCCGACACCTGAGACCCCCTCCACCGGGGCCCGCGAACTCGAAGACACGAACGCGAGGGGCCCGGAACAAGGGCCAGTTTTCCAATGACGTCCGGGAAGGGCCAGCCCGTAGGGACGTTTTTGTCACATTTCGACGCACCAGCCGCGAGTCGACGCGCGGACCCTGCACGGAAATCCGAAATGGAAGGCCCGAGGGGCCCTCGTGTCCCGCGCGTCTACAAATACGAGCGGCGCCCTGGGCATTGACGATGCGTTTTGCGTTTTTTGCTGGGGAGATGCTGCCCGACGGAAGCCACGCACCGCCACTGTCGTCAACAGCTGGCGCGCCATAGCTGGCACAACCATTCTTCACCGCGCACGTTTCGTGGCACCGACGCACCCCACATGCCTTCCCATGCCCCTCCGCCTACCAAGTCGCTGTCCACGTCATATTCGACGTTGCTCCCGATCTCCTTTCTCGGAAGGTGCGACCGCCACCCCACGCAGCACCCCAGTAAACACGAAGTGCACGCCCAAAGGTGGACAGAGTGCCGTTACGACAAACGTCGGGGTTCGCGCTCATCTTCACTCGGCAGTTCCACACGGTGAGTGCGCACGCAGTAGGGATGTATGTTTGCATGTGCGCGTGTGCGGGGGAGGTTTTTTGTGACGATATGCTCGCGCAGATCGAAAGATTTCGTGGCTGCATGTGTGCGGGTGGGCGTGTGTCTGTGTGTGTGTTTGTGTGCGATTGTGTGTTTGTGCATGCATCATTGTGTGTGTGTGTGTGTTCGAGTGCATGTTCCTTTGTGTTTGTGTTTGTATTCAAGTGTGTGCCACACGCGCGAGGCAAGATCGTGCGCGCGTCTGTACCTGAGGGGCGTGTATGTGCGGGCGCCGTGTGTCGGCGTGTGTGTGTGTGTGTGTGTGCGTGTGTGTGCCTGTTTGTGCATATGTGTTCGCGTGCGTATGTGTTCGCGCGCGTTTTCCGCGGGGAGATGCGCGCGAACGTGCGCGGTCAGGGACGAACGTCATGGTTCGCCCTTCGATTCCGCTTGTGTGTGGATGTGTGAGGATGTGTGAGGAGAGTATCAACAAACGATTGCGCTCGTGCTGTACTCAAGTGGCGAAGCACGAAAGCTCGGATCGAACACGCGGCGGCCAATAACGAAACATAACTTCATCGTGAGCACTTGCCATACCCGATTGGTTTTGTGTGCTGTCCCAATGTCATGTCCGCCGATCTGCCCAATGGATGATCAATCGAAACACGCGGTGGCAATGTCGACACAGCGAACGCATCCATCGACCAATCGCGAAACACGATGAGATCACTCGCTATCGGATGATTGGTCGTGTCTGCCGTGTCGACCTTACCACCGCGTGTGTGTTGTTCTTTCTGTCGTGTGTGTTCAGATCACTCGTGATCTGATGGTCGATCAGATCCATGACAATATGTACACCACACACGTGATGAACCGACCCATCACGAAACGCAAGCCGACCACTTGCGATCGGGTGATAGATGTTGTTTGCTTCCCCAACAACAGGGCCGCTGATCTGCCCGACTGATGATTAACCAATGCACGAGGCGATAACGCATCCAACCGACCAATCGCGAAACGACAGAAGATTACTTGCGATCGGATGATTGATCGTGTGTGCTGCACCGAAGATCAACCTGCCGGCGAGAAACCTGTTTATTTACCCACCTGACAGTCCTCGACCGAACCGTCGATCGGTCAGGAAATCTGCCAGGATCAATTGATTGGTCGACAGCTCGGTTGGCGATTACTCAGCTGGTTGATCAACCACCACACCAACCGCCAACCGAGCAGCCGATCAACCAATCGACTGTTCTGTGCTTATTGATCGTGGAGAACGATCGCGGAGAATCCTCAAGGCAAATGATCATGTGCACGATCGAAACTGGCGAATGAAACGCACAACCGATCGAAAAAACGACGATCCCGATCTTCGAACGAATAAAAAACACTTCGTCACAATCTTGTTGCACATCGAACCTCGTATAACATCGAACCATGCTGCCCACGGAACCTGGCTCCATATCAAACCTCGGCAGGCGTCGAACCTGTCGTCGAACGGCGAACGTTGAGCACCCACCACGCCACGCGTCGCTGGCACTGTTCTCGTGATTGGAACGTGGCCGTTCCAACCGAAATGATCGCGCAATCAAACACCGAAAGAAGTTGGGATCCCGGCGAGCTTGTGCAGCTGTTCGAACATGCTTCTCAACCCCGGTGCGCAACCACAGCCAGGGACGTGGAAAATTAGAAGTCCGTCGGGATCCGAACTTCAAGAAATTGTTGGACGGCGAGTTTGGTAGACACGTGTGCATCTCCCACGCAATTTCGCGAAGTTCGGATCCCGGCTAACTTCATGCAGCAGTTCGAGCACGCTTCGCAACCCCGGTCCCCAACCACAGCCTGTGACGTGTAAAAATTGGAAGTCCGTCGGGATCCGAACTTGAAGAGATTGTTGGACGGCGAGTTCGGCAGACAGGTGTATGTCTCCCACGCAGTTTCGCCAAGTCCGGATCCCGGCGAACTTCATGCAGCTGCTCGAACACGCTTCGCAACCCCGGTCCGCAACCACAGCCTGGGACGTGGAAAAATATGAAGTCCACCGGGATCCGAACTTCAAGAAATTGTAGGACGGCGAGTTTGGCAGACAGGTGTGTATCTCCCACGTAATTTGGACAAGTTCGGATCCCGGCCAACTACAGGTTCCTGCTGGCCTGCGGATCCAAACCTCGCTCGCACTATTCCTTGCACACTCGTCGAGTTAGGACCTCGGCGAACCTCAGATCCGTGATACTGCGAAGTCCGTCGGGATCCGGACTTCTACTGCACGGTTCCTCGCACAGACGTCAAGTTCGCACCCCGGCGACTTCGCTTGTCTCAATGTGCGGGTTCAGAACGCGGGTTTCTAGCTCCCGGGGTTTGGCACAACTTTGTATTTGAAAAAAAACACAACTTTGTATTTGAAAAAATGTGTAGCCCGCCGATTGATTCTCTCCCACGCGCTCTCGAGAAGTTCGAATCCCGGCGAACACCCTCCCGTGGATCCGGACCTCGCGTGGTAAGTTCGGACCCCGACGAACTTCGCGTCGCGCATGGTGTGGGTACTTACTGTGTCCTTTCTCGCGAACGGGTGTTTGCCACAACTTTTGTTTCGCAAAAATGCGAAGTCCGTCGGGATCCGTACTTCTCGTGCAAAGGTTCCTCGTCCCATCGTCGGGTTCGCCTGCTGGGTTGTGGATCCGAACCTGCTGTCTTCCTTTCGCAATGCATGTGGCAGGAGATGTTCCTTTCACAAGTTCGGATCCCGGCGAAATTGCCAAGTTCGGATCCCGGCGAATTTGATTTGTCTTCCTTTCGCAATGCATGTGGCAGGAGATGTTCCTGTTGGGCCGTGGATCAGAACCTGCCGTGCACGGTTCCTCAGACAATCGTAAATTTCGTATCACGGCGGACTACGGATTCTATAAAATGCAAAGTCCGCTGAGATCCGAACTTCCCGTGCACGGTTCGCCAGAAAACCGTCGACTTCGGACCCCAGCGTGCTTCACCTTTCGGGTGGTGCGGGTTCTGACTGTGGACTTCCTGGCGACCGGTGGATTGCCACAACTTTTTATTCGTGCGAAATTGAAGTCCGCCTGGATCCGAACTTCTTGGCAGTTTTGGACGTCGGGTTTGGGAGACAGCTTCGTCTTTTTCGCGCAGTCTCGCCAAGTTCGGATCCAGGCGAACATGTCGCAGGGCGTGTTTGCGGCCGGCTCGCGGGCCGGTAGATGTGAACACCGATGAAGCCGGCCACCCGAAATCGGATCTTGGGGCATACACTGTGTCTAATGCCATGGGTCGCACATCGCAAGACATGACGCGTTTACGAGTGTCTCCGTGCCCGTGTGTGTCGTCGGGCATGTGCGCGTGGTGTGCAGGTTGCGTGATGGAGGGGACCTTCTCGACACTACACATCTTCGAGTCGATCTTCTCGAGACCACAGGCCATGAGTGCCGAGACGCACATTCGCTTAGCAGAACCTTTTCGTCCTTGTGCGAAATCCGTGCGGCATTTCAACGGTGTGATGACGATCCACGAAGCGACCGCAGAGGACTTCGACGAGGACCCATGCATGACCGTCGTTCCGTGCAGGGACGCGCATCTTGACGACTGGGGCGAGGGCAATTGGGCCAGTATGGAGAGTCACTGCCCTTGGGCGAGCACAAGTTCGCGAATATGTTGGAGTTCGGGGACCTCATCCCACTGCCTGACGCCGTCCTCGGACATAAATTCCTGAACCATATGCGGAAAGCACTAAGGTGCATTAGCCGCTATTTCAGTCGCCTCGAGTGCCACAAGGTCAGATCGTCGCCACGAACTTGGGGTGGCTCGCGGAAACAAGAGTTGGTGGACTGCGCTCGTCGTTGCTCGTTCCTGGACCAGTACCCACTCCGTTGCCCCGGGATTTCTCCACGAGCTGTGTCGTACTGCTGTGTGCGGTTGACTGTGTCCGGATCTGATTTCGCCAGAGTTCTGTGTGTCGCTTCTTCGAACAAGAGCAGGAAACTCGTCGACGCAGTTGTGTTCGTGTCGCGCAATGAGGTTGTGATTGAAGGGTCCAAATTCGTGCCGATGCGTGGGCCTGAATGTGTGGATGGGTGGCCAGATTTGGTGATAGCAGGTCAGGTTCGAAACTATTCGTTGTTTCGTGAGGTTGAGGAGAAAGCGGCTGACATACGGGACTGCATAGGAAACTCCTTGGCACGACCGGGGGTGTTTGTTAGGATGAAATACATGTCCGTTTTTTCGGAGATTGCATCGGTCGACGAACTGCAGACCCGCGTCTACGGATCGTCACTGAATGCTTTGTTTGGCTTCGGTTCACGACGTCGTCCCGGAGGATCCGCAAATGTCGCCGCATCCGAACCGGTCTTTAGTCCTTATGTTTGAGGGAAAAGAATGACGAGGGACGAGATGCGGTTGTGCTGCCTAACATGTCAGATTTGTAGGACTGCAGAGAAGTGTGAGACTCTGCGGTTGTTGGTACACGCTACACCGCGCGCTTGTCGTGCAAATCCCTGGTCGTCGTTCGGTTCAATGACATGACGAAAGTCATGTTGGACGTCCGTTTCTGACGCCGTCTCCTGCCATGTCGTGCCCCGGCGAAGTTCGGATCTCGGCGAACTTCGCGTTCTGGCCTCTCCGTTAATTTGTCTCTGATGTCATTGGCGTCGGGCGGGCCGCGGGAAAGACCCATCAGCGCGGAAGGATCTACCCGTAATCGGTTTTCGCCCGTCCACCATCAACATGTGCCAAACAGTTAGTCACTGTCGTAGCGAGATGCCAAAAACACTCTTAGAGATCCCCGTCGCAAGGTCGCGCGAGCTTCGCGTTTCTTGAAACCCGTTGGAGATCCCGGTTGGCGGGCCCTCTTGTTGGAAATCCCGTCTGCACCGTGCTAGGACACCTTGCTAGGACCCCTACTTTCTGTCTGTCTCTCTCACAGCCTCCTGAAGTTCGGATCCCGACGAACTTCCTGTGACGCCTGTGTATTGAACGGGCGCTGGGCTTGATTATCCCCCGTGGATTGCGACACGAGTCAAACCCTGATCCACAACTGCTCCTCCAGGGACTCATACAATGTTGCCGCGGCTGCTCGTTCGAACTTGGCTTCATCCAATGCCAAGCTGCGCATATCAGAAGAAGTTCGGATTTCGGCGAACTTGTCCTTCTCAAGCGGCCTTTTGTGTTAGTGCGGCCTTTCCAGGTCGTGGTTCATTCCAATCTGTGTTTGCCTGATGCCGTCTCTGCCTGTCGCATTTTCCTGAAGTTCGGATCCCGGCGAACTTCACGTTTCGGTGGGTGCGTTGGTTTGGCTTCGGACAGGCACTTTTAGTACGGATCTCGGCGAACTTTGCGTCCTGAACTGTCCGGGTTCCTATTTCTAAACGGAGGACACTACCCCGTCCAACGCGGGCTTTGTGCGTCACCACCCGTCCATTCCCGATCGGGTGGACGTCCGTGTTCCGGAAAAAACCGACGTGGTTGTCGCCCGATTGCATGAAGCGTGTGCCCTTGTAAAGAATGATCTCGTTGCAGGTAAGAGGTCATTGCTGGTCTTCGCGTTAGAAGTTCGAGGGATCCGAACTTCGAGGTCCTCAGATAGCGTCATGTGACCGACGTGTTGAGGGCAAGGTGTGCCTCCTATGTTTTTCGCCTGCGTTGTGCTTTGACCGCGATTTGAAGCTCGCTGGTGTTTTATTTGTTTTTCGTTGTCGTCCGCAGACAATATGTCTTTGTCCAGGGGTGAAGGGGAGCCTGCAGCGACCTCCGGGATGGGATCTGGGAAAGATTCTACAAAACGGTCGTCTACGACCTCGAGGACGTGGTTCGACCACGCTAGGTCGAAATGGTTCGTCGACTGGTGCTCTGCTGATGCTACAAACCAAGTCCAACAGCCGTGTGGTCCTGTGATCTTCGTCGAAGCCAACAAGCGCCGCAGGGTTCTGGGGGCTGTCTTGCGGTGGGAGAATGTGAAAGGCAGTCGTCGACGGTTTTACATGAAAAATGTGTAGGTTTGAAGGGGAACGTCGTCGCCGGTGCCAAGGGGGCAGTTCTCGACATGTGTCTGTTCGAGGGGTTCGGAGCGGGTGCCGCGAACACCCCGTTCTACAACGACCTCCGGCGGCAGGGCGGGTTTGTTTTGGGTCGAGAGTTCTTCGAGCTGTTGGAGGACAAGGGCATCGCCCTCGACGTCCCTTGCGAAGTCGGTCCCGACCTGGAACTGTCAATGCCTTTGCAGCCGTGCGGCGGTTGTGAGTCGAGCGGGGCAGCGGGGGAGGGGGGGGATCTGGGTTCCGAGGTGGCTACACATGTGCAGCGGGAGGATGCCAGAGGTCAGTTTGACGACAGCGAAGATGAGGCGACACCGCGTCCGCCGTTTTCGCCGTCGAGGGAAAGAGACAGGTCCGTGCTATCTATACCTGGGGTCCGGCAACAGACCGCAGCGGATCCCGGAGAAGAGGGAGTCCTGTGAGGGTATGACTTGGAGCCCGCCGAGGGCCATGGCGCGGAAGGCGAGGCCGTGGGCGGGGAGGGAGCGCAGGGCACTCCCCAAAAAAGGAGGGGAGAATGTCAAGAAGAGTTGGTGGGCTCTTCGAAGAAACAGAAGACCAAGACCCCGAGGACTGCGGGAGAGAAACAGAAGGGGAGGGGGGTGGAAAAGGTCCACGCGGGTAGCAAACGTCCAGCTTCGAAATATAAACAGCCTGAGTCAGGACCTTCTTCACCACGGCCTGCCATCGACGTGGACGTCGGGTACTTCCTGGAGTACAAAGACGACGTCGGGACAAGGCGGGAGTTTGAGATCAGCCCGGCTCAGATCGTTAACATAAGGGAGTGGGAGGATCTTTACAACCAGCGATCGCTAGATCCCGTGTTCGTGGAAACGATAAGGGAAGCAATGCGGTCTGCGTTCGAAAATAAAGAACAGACGTACGAGTTGCCGGTCTTCAAGCTCGCACCACTGGGGATTCAAAAACCAACTCCTGGGATGAAGGCACAACGTCTGAAGCCAGAGGAGTGGAAGGATGAGCTGGAGGGAGAATACTACTACTACGCGGTATGCGGGCAGCACAACGCGGCTGCAGCCAGGTCGCTGCTCGGCAGCGAGGTGGCCAAGAAGTACAATTTCGAGCGGTGGCCGGCACGGATGGTGTACTTTTCCGACGATGACTTTGAAGGGTATTTTCTTGTTAGTTCACAGGACAACAAGAAGGATCTGAAGGCGCCTGCCAGACAGTTGAAACTTTCTATGAAAGACATTCGATGGCAGTGGAAGCATGACGGCTGCCCGAGAGCTGTGATGGGGAACCCTAGCGGGAAACAAGATCAGGTCCGGGTTTGGCGTAAGTTTTGTACAACGGCGCTCTATAAGGCGCCTCAAAACAGCTTGTGGCTTCTCGCGGATCAAAAGGAAGAGGAGGCCATTAAGAAGCAAAATGCTGCCTTGCGTTCTTACTTACCTCTGGTGATGGCCGGGGAAAATGTCTGGAAACTGGCCGTGGAATTTTTTGAAAAATGGGAGACGGGCAGATTGATGAGCCACGATGGGGCGAAGTGGACTGTCAAAAAGAAGAAGGTCAAAAGCGTAAAGCCTGGGGTCGCCTACATCCACAACGATAAATTGGGCAGAACGGAGGTGGTGTACAACGTCCCCGTGGACCCGCCGAATAAAAAGGGCAAAAAGGAGAAAGAGGAGGGCGATTGGTTCATGCAAGTGCCAGACCCGGACGCACATTGTTGGAAAGCAATGGAATCACTCACGGACAATGAAAAGTGTCGCGTTCTGAAAAAGGTGCTTGCTTGCGAGGTCGTTTGGGTCCAGGCCGGCTCCCCGTCGTTGGCGAAGTTGGGAAAGCTCAGCGTGCAGGACATGGTTCAGCTGGTGAAGTGCGACCGCGTGCTGGTCTGGTTGTGGAATTACTACCAATTCAARCACGAGAAGAGGYYGRACRCGGACTGGATCCTAAGGTACCCTTTCCTGAAATCGAGGTCTGCCGTGTTCAAGAAGTTTGAAGGTCAGGGATTGGATGACGAGTTGTGGGATAACAGCAGGAAACATGTTTCCGACTCGGCGTTGTTCAAGGACTGCCCGCCGTACATGGGTTGCGACTAGGACAACTCGATTGAGGTGACGGAGAAGTTGGCGGGCCACAAGAAGTTGTTCGTCGACTGGAGAAACAAGGTTCTCTCCGTGTTGAATGGAAGCAGACTGAAGAGCCGGGAAGTCGCACTTGCCGAAGGCGTCGTTCACATTAAATGGAAAGACAAGGGGAATGTGGCATCCATCGCGCCGTTCGCCAACTACCCTTTAGAGGCGGACATCAGGGGCGCAGAGCTGAAGGAGGCAGTGGCTGCCACAAAGAGCCACACGTTCGTCCTCGATCTGTGCGAGCCGGTTGACCTCAAACTGTGGAAGCCCCAAGCGTGGGAGACATTGAATTCCTATTTTCAAACGTGGTGTCCCTCGCATTGGACTTTCGTTGTTTTCGTGCCGCGGCAGCACAACCTGTCGTTTCTCTCCAGCATGCACCATCTTTCTTTCGTCAAGCTGTTGGAAGGAAAGTGGGTGCGGAGAGTGCAGCAAAAAAAAAGCTTCCCCGTTGGGAACAATTTGTACACGGAGGAAGACCGCATGTACATCCTCTTCAAGGGTGACGATCTGCGAGTCAACACGTCCATAGTCTATGAGGGAAACCTGCCCACAGGTGCCGCTGCTGCGGTGCGATTGCCTCAGAGGGTCACCCAGACGGATGTTTCCGAGATTCCTTTCACGCCTTGCGACTGGTCGCTGGTGGCGCCTGAACGACAGGGCAGCGTCTACGGGGATATGGAACGCAATCCGACCCAATTCGTCGGTCTTCTTGATTTTTTTGGCAAGAAGGGAGAGGGTGTCGTGTTCCTTGGGAAATCGCACGCGCGAAGCGTCTGGGAGCTTCTGAAGGCCGGCCGACACGTTGTCGCAATGGAAGGGAACCTCGACCTCTTGCAATTCACGATGCAGGTGGTGAAAAGCGAGGTCAATTCGAGTGGGCACAATTGTGAGTTCATGGTCGTGAGGCCAACACGGGATAAGGTGTGGAGCAAGAAGACGGATATGTGGTTCAAGTTGAGCGAGAGGAAGAGGAACAAGATATACGATTTCTTGTTCCTTCAAACGCGTCCGAGAAGGGACACTGATGCCGAGTACATCCGCCGGAAGGACCACATGTTGGCACTGCTCGACAACTACCACTTCGCTTCCCGCATGAACGCGAAGACGTTTATCGACAGGCTGCGGTCGCTGTACTTCGTGGAGTCCGAGGAGCAGTTGAAGTTAGCCAGTTACGCTTCCCTGATCTCCACTGATGACGAGGAAGCCATAGGTGTGGAGTTTGTTGCCAACACGAAGGAGGAGGAGAGCGACACGGAGAGCATCGACCTACAGTACGACCCGCCTCCGACGGACCACGGCCGGGGGTCCTCGTCGGCCGGTCCATCACCAAGCGTTGCAGCCCTCGTGTCACCATTGGCCAAACCGGCGCCGGGCACCACGCCGATGAAGTTGCTGGAGAGACTTAGAGCTCTGGCCGGCCCCCCGGCCGCTTTGCGTCCCGAGTCCGTTGTCCCGCCCGATCATCCGTCTTGGAAGGATGACAACATCCACTTCCTGCTTGAACGGCAACGTCATTCACCTGAGCAGGACTGGGGCCATGACATGGTTTGGCATCGGGGAGTCATCCAGCCAGCGATACGAAATGGCGAGTGGGTCATGGCCGTGGCAATCCCGGGCGCGGGATGGGTGTCATTCCCACGCGAGTCGAAGTCCAACTTCCTGCACCTTGCGAGGATTTCGGTCCTCCAGAAAGTGAAGGTCGAAAATGACACTTTAGCACCCGGCGACCTGTCCCTCATTTCCACTGTCGGTCGACCGTTTGACGAGCTTCCTGACAAGTGCTGGTTGGAATTGACGGAGGACTACTACGAGCTCGACACGAGTCCGTCGAAGGGCATGGTGGACTGGAAAGTGCCCCCTCCCAGTGGGCCGGATGGTGGTTCCGGGGGGGGGTCACCTGGAAGCGGAGGGGATGGGGGTGGCGACGCAGGGGGTGGCAAAGGAATCCCGCCTATGGGGGAGAGAGGGTCTCACGGCCGCAACACGACACCGGGAGGCAGCGCCGGGGTGGCGGGTTTCGCCGTCGACCGGACTCCGTCGACAGGCACCCGGCCCGAGCACACGACACACTCCGTCGACCCCTAGACTTCGTCCGTGGGCTCAGCGAGGGACACGTTGGCAGCCTTGGTTGCTCTGGGCATTCGCTCGGCCGGAAAGCCGAAGTCCGCCGGGATCCGAACTACGTCGGGTGAGGAGCCGCCAGAGCGGTCCGGAATGCGAAGCTGCTCGGGGTCGGGGGATCCAAGCACGGATCGAGAAATTCGTAGCATTGCGGCGCGGGATGGAGACGTCGGAACGGTGTCGCCTGAGCGGGAGCGACGACCGCAAGGATTGCAGCGGGAGGCTGCAAGTGCAGGGTCCGGCGACACGGAGACAACGAAGTCCGGGGTTTTGCCGGCCAGGGATTGTCGTGCCGTTGAGAGGGGCAGCGTGCACGGGGACGGAAGGGCGGTCCTCGCGATTCGGCACGGGTACCGCAGAAGGGGACGAGTTTCGTGGGAGGGAAGTAGGGGAGGAAACGGAGGAACAGAAGGGAGCGCAAGAAGGGGAGGAAGAAGGAGAAGAAGAGGTGGAAGGGGAGGAAGCGGGAGAAACGAAGCTAATTGATTTGTTTGAAGGAAGGGAGAGTGTCGGGTCTGGAGAAGACGAAGTGGAACAAAGTGAGAACGATGCCGGATCTGGAGAGTCGTCTTACGAGTTCGGACAACTGTACGGAGAGCATCACGAGGATGATGTCGACGACGATGCCACGACAATAGAGATGGAGACACAAGTGGTTAGCAGTCTTTCCGCAGAGCCTGAAGATTATGCGGTCCGGCCACTGACGTCTGCTGTCGACTTGCAGCACCAGTTCGACGAGGCTTCCGTCGCTATCAGCCCGTCTGAAAAAAGTCGACGTATAAGCATCGACGAAGTTATCGACGGTATCCTCGGCGACCACAACGTGTCTTCCCGTCCGTCCACAACTGCCAACGTCGCATCTTCCGTGGCAGCTGCCCTCACTTCGTCGCCGCTGAAGTCTCTGGTGCTGCAGGCCACCCTTGCCGCCGAAGGGGAAGGCGAGTGAGGTGGAGGACAGCATTTGACGTCCCCAAAAAAAACGAGGTTCGGTGGTCAGGCTCTGGACGTGCTCGCTTTGCTTGCGCCAAATTCACCATCGAAGGAGCGGAGAGAGAAACAGACTGGTAAGCCGTGAAGAACGCTTGCGCATCCGGATGTCGCCGGATTACAGTCCGCGCTATACACACGACGACTGTCCACACTGTCTATGCATACGGGAAGTTTCGGATGCCGGCATGCTACAGCCAGCAGCCCTTCCTACTCCAGCTCGTCGGCCTATCTGTGACTCGGCCGGGTTGCTAGTCGAGGGCGGCGAAAACTTCGTCCAAAACCTTACACTCCATCCAAGGAAGGATCTGCCCCGGCTGAGGAAGTGGCAAAGGTGCTAAGAAAGTGGCCAATTCCTTCTCGGGAATAGTGCCGGTTTTAGTCGGCCGGGATCCGAACTTCCTTTGTCGATGCGTGATGTGGTCAGTCTCAGTGGGGCTGGTGTGTTGAAAAGTCCGCCGCAGTCCGAACTTCGGGGATTGCTGGCAGTCGTTTTGTTTTCCAGTCGCACAACCGCACCTGGGTGCACATGACCACGCGAGATCAGGGTCCTGTGGTCGGAGAGGTCCTGCTTGACTGTAGGCCAAGGTGCTAAGAAAGTGGCCAAGTACATGGACTGACAGTTTTCCCTTCTCGGGAATAGTGCCGGCTTTAGTCCGCCGGGATCCGAACTTCCTTTGTCGATGCGTGATGTGGTCAGTCTCAGTGGGGCTGGTGTGTTCAAAAGTTCGCCGTAGTCCGAACTTCGCGGATTGCTGGCCTCCGGCTTCTGTGAGTTGTGGTGGTTTTCCTTTGCGAAGTGCGGGGGTGATAAGCTCGGATGTTGCAGTCATTTTGTTTTCCAGTCGCACAACCGCAGCTGGGTGCACATGACCACGCGAGATCAGGGTCCTGTGGTCGGAGAGGTCGTGCTTGACTGTTGCGTCTGTACGAATGTATGGTTCTCATTTTTCGTTTTGTCTTTCTTCTGTTGTACAGGGGTGGTGTCGTCTCGAACACGGAGGTCCTCCAAATATCCAGAGCACATATTGCAGAAAGTCCCCGGGTTGAGTAAAAAACACAAGGATATGTTAAAGGCATCAAGGGTTGATGTCGAGATCGGGAAGGAGTACATCGTTGCCATTGAGGAATGTCTTTCCCTTCTTGCCCCAGAGAAAGGGACATATCCACGATCTGTGAGTAGGGGTCAGGCCATGTATGAGAAGTACTTAGCAACACGTCATGCACCGGGGGACAATGTCTAGAACTCTGTTTCTTACTACCCTACGTGTCCTTTGCTCGATGTTGTGCAGTGCGGGCAACAAGTGCAGCACGCGGGAAAAGTTTCGTTGCGATGATTGCGCCTCTGGGCTTGCGGGTTTTGGATGACATTGTACGAGGTTCGGTGCCGTCTAACACTATTCTCTCTATACTTGGCGATGGTCAATTTCAGATTGCAGCAAAAGATCTCCTCACCCTCTTGCATGTCAACCGCAGGGTGAATGATGAGGTGGTCAATTTCTATATGGCGTTGTTGGGGTCGACCGCATGTGGGTCACGTGACATGTCTTCAGGCCTTCAAGTCTTCAGCTTTAATTCGTTCTTCTTCAGTAAACTGCGACTTCAAGGACACGGTGGGGTGCAGAGGTGGTCTAAAAACGTAGATTTGCTTCGTTACGATATTATCTTCGTTCCTGTCCACAAAGATGATGATCACTGGATCCTCGTTTCTGTCAACATGAGAGATGATGTTCTCGAAATTTTTTATTCTTTTCCTCGCATTGTAGTTGATTCTAGTTTTTACCTTAGGGTTGATTGTGCACTATTTGGAACGTCAAACATCACATAGGCGGTCGGGAAGGAATTGGAAGTCCATGGTGGAAAATATTGTGGTGGATGGAGTTCCGAGACAAGTGGATGGAGCAAGCTGTGGTGTGTTCATGTTGATGTATGCGACGTTGTTGCAACATGGAGATCGACTGCTTTTCCGGTTCTCTTGTAAAGATATTCCGCTTCTTAGACGACATGTAGCATCATGTGTCTTAGAACATCGTTGTCTCTGATGGATTTGATTGACTTTGAAACTTTTTTGTAAGGTGTTTCATTCGTTGATCGATAAATTTCGTAAATCGAGATATTATTCAACTGTCCTTCTGCCAGAGGCATTGCTTTCTTTTATCGTTCCGAGTTCGCATTATCTACGACAAGCTCAATGCATGTCCTACGTCATGTATGGGCTTAATAATCTATGTCACGTAATGTTCCATGTTCCGAATTCTGTTCAAGTTGAAGTATTGTGTTCCATGTTTCGAATTCTGTTCAACTGGAAGTGTAAACATGATTGTGAAACTGGTTGGTGGATGAATGAGAAATCTCATCTTATGTGAAATTGGTCAGTGGATGCCCAAACCTTCTTTGCATGACCATTTGAAATGCGGATATTCATCGTGATGGAACACAATTTAATCTAATTCAATCTAATTACATTGCTAATTTTGTTTACAAAAGTTCAACAACTATGGATGTCAGGAAACTTTCGCATTTAGGGCGACTGGGCGGGCATGCCCATGTACAAACACTGCAGTCAAAAATGAATTCGTAAGAAAGAGGACAGTGTCACAATATAGTTACTGTATCTTTCATCACATTTATGAAATTGAAGTTTGACAAGTTAGGATCACGACACAGTTCCGCACAGGGTTCCCTTTGGCGTGCCAATCGTTGTTCGTTTATGAAGTTTGACTAGTATAGATCCCAACACACGTCCCCACAGGATCACCAACATGTTTTTGATGTTCAACAAGTAAGGATCCCAACACACTTCCACATTTGGGATCTCATTTATGAAGTTTCACAAGTATGGATCTCAGCACGCTTCTGCATGTGGTTAACCCCTGGATGGGCATGCCTACGTTGCTTAGGCTGCAGCCAAAAATTAATTCGTTAGAAAGAGGACACAGTATAATGTCCTATTTTAACGAATAACGTGTTTGTTGTCGTTGTTTTCAACCACTTCTGTTTTGTTTAGTTGTCTTCAGTTCAGGAGCAATAGTTACTTTGTTCTTTATGTTTGGCCTTCACTTGTTCATCTAAGGTATGTTATTCATTTGCTTTCTTTGTTATGATAATTTGACCTAGGCTACCAGTTGAGCTGTCTCAGTCCCGGGTAGCCAGCCCATACAACGACCACAGGAGGTCACGACAAAAAAAAATAAAATAAAATAAAAATGGAAAATAAATTATACCATGCATAAAAAATAAGCAGTACAACTTTTACACCGGGATCACATCGAAATCCTTCTTCAAATTTTAAATATCAAATAAAATTTAAAAATAATATTTAATAATGTTTTTCTATGTTACCAGTTGTCCGATGGCAGGACGTCCTGGGCGGACATTCAGGGGGATCCCGGACGTTCGGACCCTCCATTTTTGGCAATTAAAAGCACGAAAAAAGGGACAAAAATTAGGGGTGTCTTCTTTTTTTTTTAACTTTGGCAACGACTTTCGATATCATCCGAAGACAAAAGTTGTTCAGTTTATATTTTTGCATAACATAGTTTTTTTTCAGATTTTTTTTTGATTTTTTTTTTTTTTTTTTTTCTTTGGTTGTTCGGGCTTGGACAGACTGCTCGGGGAACATGTCCGACCAGTTGTTCGAGCAGACAACCCCGGACGGTCAAGGGGGTCCCGGACGTCCGATCAGTTAACCTAACTTTTTCTCATAGTTACAATCCGGGCGTCCAGAACCCAGCCTGGACTGTCCGCGTCCACATGTGTGGACAAGCATCACAGTTTTGAATCGCAGTTCAATCTATACAACCCAAGTTCCTAGCAAGACAGGGTAGTGCATTTTCAGTATGTCTTGACTGTTTTCTGGCCCTCCAGACCCTTCATTTTTATCAATTAAAAGTACAAAAAAAAGGGATAAAATTAGGAGTGTTTTTTTTTTTTTTTGAACAAATTTTGATATCATCCGAAGGGAAAAGTTGTTCAGTTTATTTTTTTGCATAACATAATTTTTTTCGGATTTTTTTAAGGATTTTTTTTTTTTTTTTTTTTTTTTTTTTTTTKTTCGGCCTCGGACAGACTGCCCAGGGAGCATGTCCGACCGGTTGTCCGAGCGGACAACCCTGGACATTCAGGGGGGTGCTGGACGTCCAATCAGGTAACTTAACTTTTTTTCATACTTACAATCCGAGCGTCCAGAACCCAGCCCGGACTGTCCGCGTCCACATATGTGGATAGGCATCACAGTTCAGAATCGCAGTTCAGACAATCTATACAACCGAAGTTTCTGGCCAGACAGGGTAGTGCAATTCAGTATTTCTTGACTGTTTTCTGGCCTTTTCAGAAAGCGAAAGCGAACCCGGTTGAGAGAGAAAGAGAGAGAGAGAAACGAGTAGACATACAGAGAAACAAAGACAGTCAAATAAAAACAGAGAGTGACAAACAAACAAACACAGAGACTGAATAAAATGATAATGACCAGGGGCTGTTATAACGCTTGCTTGCCAAATCCAACACTCGGTTGGTCTCCTGCACTTACCTGATCGTGTACTATCCGCCTTGGCCCTCAAACGATTTCCATTGCATGTGTTTCATGAAAGTTCCAAAAGGCATGCCCATTCACAAATACCTATGCATAAACCTGAACTGGAAAATCACCAAACATGGATGCTACTCTCATCATTCTGAGCTTTCTCCTAAGTATCTTACACTGGTGAAGTGCCCGTTCCTTTTTTTGTTGGGGGGGGGACAAATGCTCCAATGTATTCGTGGGGAGCGACACGTCCTACGAACCGGGTCCAACCTCCTATATAAAGTTATACAAGTCATTCGAGATATGGACGCCATTACCCAGCTTCGGCTAATAATACATCTGAGAACTATTGAAGGAATTTAAGAAAATTAAAAAAGACATTGAAAAACTGTGAATGACTTCTTTTCAAATGCTCAGAACCCCTACACTCCCAAATAAAACTCTCCAAATCTGTTTAACACTGTCCAATACCCTGTCGAGCTTTCCCACGCCCCAAACCCCTACCCAGCTAGGTTACAGAGAAACACAACTCGCCCCATCGCTGGCCAGCGTCGTCCCAACAACAAGCCCGTTCTCTTCACCAAAATGGCATGATGTCAAAGACAAAGTCGGAGCCAGCGTCGTCCCAACACCGACCTCGTTCTCTTCACCAAAATGGCATGATGTCAAAGATAAAGTCGGACACTCATTCCTACCTGTTACTATCTGCCCAGGTCATCAAACATTTAGTCACGAATGTAGATGTTTCCTGGAAATACAGATTCAAGTACATTCAACCTGCGTAGCATTGCGTTCGGGCTCGGTGACCGAACCCGAACGCTCGATACCGAGCCCGAACATGGCCCAAAATCAACCGAGCCCTTACATTTCTATTTTTTTTTTTTTTTTTTTTTTTAAATATATAGGCGTTGGGGGGCCCTTGGGGGAATTGCTCATCACTCCTGAACATATACACACACATACACACAAACACACCACCCAAACGCACATACACACACCCCACACACACCCCACATACTAGACACACACGAGAACGCCTTCGGCAACCCCCAGATATGCGCTCGGCCGAACATGTTTGGTTCCGCTCGGCCGAGCGTCCGAACATGTTCGGCTACTCGGTAGGGCGCCGAACATGTTCGC